AAAGAGTGATAGCAGTGAAACCAGCATTCGTTGAGGATCTGAAAGATTGTGAGTTGACTTCTGGTTGCACAAACTATCCATAGTTTAAATAAACCATGGTTTTGCATTAGGTCTGAAGTGAACCAGCAAGACAAGTCTGTCTGTCTATCCACATCGAGTCACATGGGGAGTCCCTGTCCAGTTTGCATTCTCTCCAGGAATTATTATTCCTTGGGGAGATATACCGCCTGTGTTACATTTTGAATTGAGATTCTTTTTACATTTCACTTAATATTTTTTAAATCAACATGGTATTTTCTTTGTTTGTTTTTCAGATAAATGCAAATGAAGTAGTAAGGTTTTCAGATTTCCCTCTATCCAGGAAGACACTAAAAGGTAAGTCCAATAAGTTGTCTTGTGGTGGCTATGCCAGTAATGTGTTGGGGCTTTCCTTCCTCAGTCCTGCTCCATGTTGCTGAGCAACAGACTTTTCAGACTGTATTGGATTGGCCTGCAGCCAGGCGGCATTCCCACGTGATGTCATCTGTGGGAGCCACCGCATAGCAGTTAGGTTATTAGGGGTGTCCTGTTGAGGCACTGCCTCACGCAGTTGCGCTCATTTATTGCAATTTTTGTATATGTGGTAAAATAAGTGTGTGCATGGTAGGCTCAGTAAGCATTTACCATCTTTAATATTGTTTCCATGAAAATATAATATTTGATAAACAAAAACACTTTGTATGTGCCTCTTGGGCTTTTATTGACACTCTGAAACAAAGCAAAGGACCCAGCTTTCTTCCATCTTACAAATTCTTCTCTGGCTGGTCACCAGGAAGTGATTCTGTATTCTCCACAGGTGACCAGGCAAATTGCTGTTTATAAGCCTGTGGAAACCTATATTTCCCCCTTTCCATACACCAGGTTTGCAGGAAGCTCAGTATCGCATGGTGACTGAAATCCAGAGGCAGACCATTGGTTTGGCGTTACAAAATAAAGACGTGCTAGGAGCTGCAAAGACTGGATCAGGCAAAACCTTGGCTTTCATTGTACCTGTAAGTAATGTATCTCCATGTTGGGTATTATGTTGGAAGTTAATATTCCATGGCCTGTATCCTTTCACTCGGCAAAGTCTGAAGCCTTTCTCCAGCCTTACTCTCACTTAAGTGGTTCTTCTGCTGGATTAAGATCTACTTCCAATGAAGGAAAGCTTCATACTTTGCTGAGAGGAGGGGTTGGATACAGTCCCTGTCATTTTTATGAATGGGCGAACTAGCCAAATACAGGGTTATGTTTGCGGAATTTGTAGCCACCTGGACTAAACTAATGATCATTGGACACTCTAATGTATCTTCATGTTGGGTATTACGTTGGAAATTAATATTCCATGGCCTGTATCCTTTCACTCGGCAAAGTCTGAAGCCTTTCTCCAGCCTTACTCTCACTTAAGTGGTTCTTCTGCTGGATTAAGATCTACTTCCAATGAAGGAAAGCTTCATACTTTGCTGAGAGGAGGGGTTGGATACAGTCCCTGTCATTTTTACGAATGGGCGAACTAGCCAAATACAGGGTTATGTTTGCAGAATTTGTAGCCACCTGGACTAAACAAATGATCATTGGACACTCTAGCTTTATAGATGTTCAGTGGCAGTGGTTTTGTATTGATGATATTCATCGTGGCCCTACAGCAGTGATGCTCAGTGGTTTGGGACCTGCGTGGCTCTTTGGCATGCTACCTGTGGTTCTTCTGAGTGCCCAGTATGGCACCTCCCCCATGTTTTGGAAAAGTGGGAAAAGCCCTTGTCTGGTAGGGCTTCTGACAGGCAGGTAGATTCTTCCTTGAAACAGCTACTCCCAGAAGAATAGGTGAGCTGTGAGCCTTTATGAGGTGGAGTCCTCATGCTAGGAATGGGAGTAAATCTGGCTAATTTGATTAATGATTATTGTGAATGTGACTCCCTGCAAGCCATTACCCTGAGGTAATCTTGTTGCAAACCTAAGTAGGTATACTAAGAAGTAAGTCCCACTGAATTCAGGGGGGCTAGTTTCCTAGTCAGCATGTTGTTTAGGAATACAATCCGTCCATACAGTGCTAAGTAGAGTTACACCCTATTAAGCCGATTGAATGGGCTTAGAAGGGTGTTTCTCCATTGAGGATCATTCTGTTATTTTCCTCCCCTAGGAACCAAGCTACACAAATAGGAGAATTACACATGATGTACCACTTAATATCTGGGTACTGAATGCTCCCTATATTCATAATGCCCAGCAAATAGAAAATTGACTTCTCTCAGAAAGCTTGGTTGTCTTTTCTTTGACATGCAGTTTGGTGTAGTGGTTAAGTGCACGGACTCTAATCTGGGAGAACTGGGTTTGATTCCCCACTCCTCCACTTGCACCTGGGTGGATGACCTTGGGGAAGCCATAGTTCTGTCAGAGGTGTTCTTGAAAAAGAGCAGTTTCTGTCAGAGCTCTCTCAGCACCACCTACCTCACAGGGTGTCTGTTGTGGGGAGGGGAAGGGAAAGGAGTTTGTAAACCGCTCTGAGACTCCCTTGGGTAGTGAAGGGCAGGGTATAAATCCAATCTCTTCTTCTTCTTCCTCATTGACCAGCTACACGAGAATGACATTCTGACAGGTGCCTATTTGGTTGTGGTGGTGGTGGTGATAATTTTTGCTTTAAAAAATCTCCATGGAAGGGCATTCTGCATCCTTTCTGTGCTGCTGACTACAATCTTTTATATGCTGTTTTCATTGCATGTCTGTTCAGGGAATACTTTGGGGGAATATGTCCATGTGCACATGTGTGTGCGCATAAAATGCATGTATGTGTATATACGTATGTGTGTATATATATATGTGTGTGTGTGTATATATATACACGCACTCATGCACGGGGGTGTATTAAATAAATCGATTATTTACATATGAGCAACACAGTTAAATTTCCAAGCACTGAGAGCTATGCTGATAGCTCTTGCCCTGAAGCTGTGATATCCATGCTTCCCACTGGAGCAAATGTCATCCCACTGGTGCTCAAGATGGACCCCCCCCCCAAAAGCCCTGCTTGCTCAGAGCATCGGCACCACTTGAGCCCAGCAAGGTTGTGGGGGGCTGCTGGTAAGAGCAGCTGTTTTAATCAAGAGTTGCTGCACGAAGGATTTTTATAGGGATTTCTGATTAAAGTTTTGGAACTTTGCAGGCTCTGGAAATCTTGTATCGCCAGCAGTGGACTTCCACGGACGGGCTGGGAGTTTTGATAATATCACCGACCAGAGAGTTGGCCTATCAGACATTCGGGGTCCTGCGGAAGGTGGGGAAGAATCATGACTTTTCGGCAGGGCTCATCATTGGTGGAAAGGTTTGCCCATCTTCTGTTACCTTTATTCCTTTGTGCATGGGGAGTGAAAGTTCCTGTTGGGTAGGAGAGAGTGAACAAGATGTACATTGCCTCTGTTTATTACATTGCTTTTTATTACGCTTCTCAGTTTTGGAACTTTGCAGGCTCTGGAAATCTTGTATCGCCAGCAGTGGACTTCCACGGACGGGCTGGGAGTTTTGATAATATCACCAACCAGAGAGTTGGCCTATCAGACATTCGAGGTCCTGCGGAAGGTGGGGAAGAATCATGACTTTTCGGCAGGGCTCATCATTGGTGGAAAGGTTTGCCCATCTTCTGTTACCTTTATTCCTTTGTGCATGGGGAGTGAAAGTTCCTGTTGGGTAGGAGAGAGTGAACAAGATGTACATTGCCTCTGTTTATTACATTGCTTTTTATTACGCTTCTCCATTCTTTCTCCCCCCCACCTCGCTTTCAACCTTCATGTGCGCCTCCAGTTCTTTTTTTGGTTTACCGGGGTCATATTCCCTAACCCTTAAGGATAGTTTCGTGGCTTGGAAATTATTTTGGTAATTTCTACTAAAGTCATAAATAAGGATGCAATTTGAACACAGAACCTCTGAAAGATTCTCCTGGACAAATTGCCTTCTTATATAAGAACATTTTCATGGATCTTGTAGAGAAGGAGCTACGGTTCAGTGACAGAGCACCAGCTTTATACTCAGGAAGTTCAGTCCCTGGTGTCTTTAGTTAAAGGATCTAAGGTAGGCAGATGTTGGAAAATATTCCTTTCTTGTTCCGAGATCCATCACTCTGATTATGATGCTATGCTGTTTTTTCCCATGAACAGAGGTTAGGTTATGCTTCTGGGTGGTACAAAGGCTCTGTATTCATTGCAAACATGTACTTTTTTTTTTGCCCACAATTTAAAATTATTCTTTAATTCTTTACTCCAAAATATTTATGACACATTTCTTTGAAGAAGGCCTTATAGTTTTGCATCTACAATGCACACGTCTTTACATTTTGATTTATCCTCTCTTCTTCTGTAAGCACTACTATTTAGAGGTAGTCTATGAGACTTCCCAGAGAATATAATTTTGAGGGAATGTTTAACCATCATCAACATTTATTTCAAACTTAGATCAGCCAAGCAGTTTATCGGAGTAGTTGACATGTACATTTTTAATTGTCATCACAACCAATTAGTACAAATTTTATTCAGTAATATATGAATCAGAAAGTTGACAACTTGATTTTTACATCAGTCATCTTTCTTGCAGAATTTGAATTACCTGTCTTTTAAAACATTCCATTTTGTTTATATATGCTTAAGAGCAAGTCCTCAGAACCTGTGGAACTGGTTTCCAAGGAAATATGTATACAATTGGGTTCCGCATAACCTTTTTAAAAGCTCAATATTTAATTAACATTACCTCCATAAAATTCCCACCTGAGTCCTTTGCTTATTATAAGACAACCCAAACAAGAAAGTACTAAAAGAAAAAGGCAGGAAGTGTTTTGGGTTTTGTCTGTAAGGTCAGTTCTCTGGGAAGGGAAGCTCCATGTTTGTGGGGCAGCCACTGATCCTCAGTGTGTGAGAACAAGTTGTTATGAACAATGGCATTTTAGCAGATACCACATCTGCTGAAATGCCATTGTTCAGAGCCGGCTCTGTGTGTAAAGTTGTCTTCACATTATGCCTTTTCATGCAAATCCAGTAAGTTTCTCCATATGTCAGACACTTGTGCACATGTAAAGTCATAGGGCAACACAAAGCTGCCTTATATTTGGTCCATCGTCCGCTCAGCCAGCCAGCAGCTGTTCAGGGTCTCAGGCCCAGGTCTTTCACATAACCTGATCCTTTTTATGGGAGATGCTGGGGATTGAACCTGAGACCTTCTGCATGCAAAACAGAGGCTCTTCTGATGAGCCACAGTCCCTCCCTAAAATGGGGGGAGATGTTAGCTCTACTGTGTGAATGGAAGCCTTTCTGTTCACTTGCTCTTTTATACAAGAACTTCTTATATGACATGAGGGCATCTATTTTGAAAATATTATCCCTCCTAAACCCAAATTCTATGGTGTTCTGCAGGACTTGAAAGAAGAATCGGAGAGAATCCACAATATAAATATACTGATATGTACGCCTGGCCGGCTTTTACAACACATGGATGAAACCTCATATTTTCATGCCTCTAACCTGCAAATGTTGAGTAAGTAAAGTGACTGATTACTTTTGTTTCTTCCCTATGCAGGCTTTTTTTTTGAATTCACTGATGTTCACACATGAGCTTCTGTTCAAACGACTTGCTGTGAAAGCCCTCATCCTGTCCTCGAAAACTTTGTTAAAACTGAATGCTCATGGATCACAACATGAGTAGGGGCTGCCACGTCCGTGTCAAGGAAAGCTCTTCATACACTTGTGTTTGCCATGATAACAACAATAGTGTTTATTTAGGGATCGCGCTGGCTGGCATTCTCTGACTGTGCTTCACAAAGTTTGGAGGTTTCCTCCAACTCAGGTGGCTGTTCCTCCAAGAGGCACTTAGGCTTTGGAAAGCTCCTTAGACTGGAGGAAGTTCTGGCTGTTACAATCTGTTACTGTAACCTTACAACAGCCCTGCTGGGTAGGCCATTATCTCCATATTGGAGATGGGTGGCTGACAGAGTGGCTTGCCTAAGGCCCACCTTCAGTGTTCACGACAGAGGTGAGATACGCACTGGTTACTTCCCATATGCATCTGCAAGTATGTAGGGACCTTTTCATTTGCAGGAGCGGAGAGTGAATTGCATACTCGTATGGCTATGGGAACTGCCGTTTCAGCAGCTTCCCGAGGCAGAACTGCCAAACTGCTTTTTTAATTTCGCCGAGCTGACAAAGCTGTTAGGTCATGGGTGATGGTTCTGAGAGGCTGAAGGTGTGATGGGTCTGAGAGGCTGAAGGCATAACTTTCCTGCCTCCTCAGATCTGGTGTGGTGTCCATTGGGGTCCACCAACAGTTTCATTGTGTTCACATATGGCTACCCTTCTCTGTTTGTCTGAGATCTGTCACATTTTTATCGCATCCTTCCTTCAAGGACTCAGAGTGGGAGGGGCCATAGCTCAGTGGTAGAGCAGAAGGTCCCAGGTTCAATCTTTGGCATCTCCAGTTAAAAGGACCAGGCAGCAGGTGATGCAGAAGACCTCAGCCTGAGACCCTGGAGAGCAGCTGTCAGTCTGAGTATACAGCACTGACCTTCACGGTCCAAGAGTCTGATTCAGTATAATGCAGTTTTGTGTGTTGATCTGGTTTCCCCATCCTTCACATTATTGTCACACCAGCCTGTGAGGTAAGTTAGGCCGAGAGATTGATTTACAGAAAAAACTGTACTGCCATACTGGTCTGTACAAAATCCAAAAACAAGAACAGAATCCATGTAATACCTTTCATTAGGACCAACCAAATTGACACAATAAAAGGTATTGCACAGATTTCGTTCATATTGTTGAGAGATGGATTGGCCCAAAGTTCTCAGACGAATCATGATAGAAGGGAACTCGGGTCTCTCCTAGTTTAACCAATATGTATCTCATGGATATGGGAAAGGCAGTGAAATGAGGATGAATTCTGGAACAGGTTTGGTTGGTGGAATGCTTAATGCAGAAGCTTGGTTCTGAACACACATACACATGAAACTGCCTTACACAGAGTCAGCCAAATCCAAACAAAACAGACCTCCCAGTAACCACACTCCAAAGAAAACAAAACTGGGGCCAATATCAATCCAAAGATACACTCTAAAAGGTAAGTTGAGTATGCTTAATACATATGCTTTATACTTAATAGTAACTTCTCAGTGTACAAAATTTCCCCAAGTTATATAATCTAGCCATACAATATCAAAGTATTTACAATAACAAGATAATACAATAAATTGTCAGTTGCTGCCAACAGCCCGAAGATATCAGTGGAATTCCAAAACAGTTACTGTTGGCAGTCAAAAGAGTATAAGGCTTATAAAGCTTAAAGCTAATGAAGCTTGACGAAGCAGCCGGCTTGTACTTGGTTTCGTCTAATGACTTCCTCATAAGCAGCTTAACTGATGTTGTATACAAGTTTTCTTAATGTGTGTATTTTTCTGGTTTTTAAAGACTCTTCTCTAGAGTTGCTTGGAGGTTTCCTCCAACTCAGGCGGCTGTTCCTCCAAGAGGCACTTAGGCTTTGGAAAGCTCCTTAGACTGGAGGAAGTTCTGGCTGTTACAATCTGTTACTGTAACCTTACAACAGCCCTGCTGGGTAGGCCATTATCTCCATATTGGAGATGGGTGGCTGACAGAGTGGCTTGCCTAAGGCCCACCTTCAGTGTTCACGACAGAGGTGAGATACGCACTGGTTACTTCCCATATGCATCTGCAAGTATGTAGGGACCTTTTCATTTGCAGAAGCGGAGAGTGAATTGCATACTTGTATGGCTATGGGAACTGCCGTTTCAGCAGCTTCCCGAGGCAGAACTGCCAAACTGCTTTTTTAATTTCGCCGAGCTGACAAAGCTGTTAGGTCATGGGTGATGGTTCTGAGAGGCTGAAGGCATAACTTTCCTGCCTCCTCAGATCTGGTGTGGTGTCCATTGGGGTCCACCAACAGTTTCATTGTGTTCACATATGGCTACCCTTCTCTGTTTGTCTGAGATCTGTCACATTTTTATCGCATCCTTCCTTCAAGGACTCAGAGTGGGAGGGGCCATAGCTCAGTGGTAGAGCAGAAGGTCCCAGGTTCAATCTTTGGCATCTCCAGTTAAAAGGACCAGGCAGCAGGTGATGCAGAAGACCTCAGCCTGAGACCCTGGAGAGCAGCTGTCAGTCTGAGTATACAGCACTGACCTTCACGGTCCAAGAGTCTGATTCAGTATAATGCAGTTTTGTGTGTCGATCTGGTTTTCCCATCCTTCATATTATTGTCACAACAGCTTGTGAGGTAAGTTAGGCCGAGAGATTGATTTACAGAAAAAACTGTACTGCCATATTGGTCTGTACAAAATCCAAAAACAAGAGCAGAATCCATGTAATACCTTTCATTAGGACCAACCAAATTGACACAATAAAAGGTATTGTACAGATTTCGTTCATATTGTTGAGAGATGGATTGGCCCAAAGTTCTCAGACGAATCATGATAGAAGGGAACTCGGGTCTCTCCTAGTTTAACCAATATGTATCTCATGGATATGGGAAAGGCAGTGAAATGAGGATGAATTCTGGAACAGGTTTGGTTGGTGGAATGCTTAATGCAGAAGCTTGGTTCTGAACACACATACACATGAAACTGCCTGACACAGAGTCAGACCATTGGTCTACCCAGGACGGTATTGCATCCTTAGACTGGCAGTTGCTCTCCAGGGTCTCAACTGGCAGTTTTTCATATCACCTATTACCTGATCCTTTTAACTGGAGATGTCAAGGATTGAACCTGGGACTTTCTGTACACCAAGCGGATGCTGTGCCACTGAGCCAATCGTTTCTCCTCCACCCGTGGACTGAGGAGTCCATGTGATGAAATGCTTTTGTGACTCCTGCAGGTCTTGGTGTTACAGAACAGCCTGAGGGGTTATTTTTTTAATTTTATTCTTAATATCATATTTCAGCCAAAACACCAGCTTGCTGATATGGCTGATTCATAATTTAAAAACCTTCACAGAAAGTTCTGGTTAAAAATACAATTAAAAAATCAGAGGGCATTAAAATGCCCCAACACAATAAAATGCTAGTAGCAGCAGCCTCCTTCCTAAAAAGGAGTGTCTTTCTTGACCCACTTTTGGTAAACATTTCAGTCTCCCCTCAGAAAAAGAAGCCTTAGTATGAAAGGCCTTGGCCGTGGTAACCCGTTGCTGTGCTTCAACTAATGTAACGGGTCAAGATACCCCCCCCCTTATGATCTCAAGTCATGAGAGGTGTTGGTGTTGGAGGGCATCTTGTGTGAATTTAGGAGCTGTGCATTTCCTGTGGATGAAACCCAGTACTGTTGTGGAAATTTCAGTCTTGCTTTCTGTCTGAAGGCAGAAGCTTTTTTTTAAAAAAAAAATTCCCTCCAGCCAGTCTTTCTCATTCCAGTACTTGATGAAGCTGACAGGATTTTGGACATGGGCTTTGCTGATACGATGAATGCAATCATAGAAAACCTTCCCAAGAAACGCCAGACGCTGCTTTTCTCAGCAACACAAACCAAATCTGTGAAGGACCTGGCACGACTCAGCTTGAAAGATCCAGAATATGTCTGGGTACATGAAAAGGCAAAGTTCAGGTAGGAAAAGTCCTTTCTGTTTTAGACTTCAAAGAGAGTGGGTAATTTCTCTCCATTCTTTTCCTGTTTGTGAAAGGAAGAAAAAATGTTATTCATCCTGAGACCTTGTGATAAAGCCAGAAAATTGAAGTGGGCAGAAACACCCCCCTCCCCCCAATCTGGTTTGTAGAAGTATGGTCGTAGAAACCTTTGCTCTGCCACTTCAAGTATTGTGTGTTGTTGCCTTTGGGCAGAGAGATCTGTAGACGACAGCAAGTGCATAGGATAGCCAGGAAACTGCGGCTGTCAAAAGTCAGCCTGAATACTTTCTGGCTTGATTCATTGGAATGCACAACCCATGCCTCCCAGGAGCCTTCAGCATGTGACAAGAAAGCATAAAAAGTGGATACAAGAGATCCCATTAAGATGCAGTGAAGAAGAAAAAACATTAGGTAGCAGAAAACATAATTTGTTCTTCCAATATGCATATTTAGGATTGTAGCCTTAGTAAGCTGTGCTGAAAGCAATGGGATTTTCTTCTGAGTAAGCCTGATTAGAACCGGCACTGTGACTTTTGAAAACCCAGGACTATAGCATTTCCCAAACTTTCAGGTGCTTAATAATCTAGATATCTAATAGCCAAGTTGTCCCCTCTGTGCGGATATCTAAATCCGCACATCTGGGGCACATGGGGGCAAAGAGATTTTTCTGCACACTTGGGGCACTCTCCAGGTGTGCAGAAAAATCTGAAATGTAGAAAAAACTACATGGGGGATACTTAAATCTCTCCAAAAGTAAAAGAGCGTTCCCTGCGCATGCGTAGAGAACGCACTGGGAACTGTGCCTCCCTGTGGTTGCTCGGGGGGGGGGGAAGGTTTGGCGGGCCCAGTGGCTGGGAGGGGCCTCACCGCCATTGTCGGGGGGTGGGGGAGAATGCTTAGCAGGATAGGGTGGCTGACACCACTCAACTTGCATGACTCAACTAGGCCTGGCTGCCTGCCTGCTCCTGTTCAACAGCAGCCACCCTATGAAAGCCGGTGAAGTGTAGCAGTTAGAGCTTCAGAATAGGCTCTGGGAGAGCCAGTTCAAATACCCATCTTGCTGTAAAGGTTCACTGGTTCATTTGGGGCCAGTCACATATGTTGACCCTAACCTACCTCACAGGGTTGTTGTGAGGAGGGAAAAAAAAGAGGAGAATAATGTAAGCTGTTTGGGTCTTTTCTTTTAAAAAGAAAGGTGCACCATCCAAATGTGGAATATATTTCCTGCAACAAAAATGTTCCTTTTCCTTACCAGTTATACTGTGTGATCACGTACAATGACCTGCGCTGGCCTCCATTTGGCCAGCCTCGTGTAAGAAGCTGATGATCCTAAATTAAGCATCCTGCTTTGTGGGTTTTATTTCTGATTGGATACATTTACTTCGGATTGCATATTATTATTTATTAGATTTCTGAATCGCCCATCCCTGCTACCGTGGGTCTCTGGGCGATGTACAACAATAAATAAAAACATCACTATAACATATAAAATACATTTCCTTTTTCTCTGATCAGAAAATATTAATGTTTCTCTGTTGAAGAATGTGCAATTGAGTCACAGCTGACTCACAGTGATCCCATCCATGGGGCATTCCAGGCAGGAGATGAGCAGAGGTGGTTTGCCATTGGCTGCCACTGCATCGCAACCCTGGACTTCTTGGGTGGTCTCTCGTCCAAGTACCGACCATAACTAACCCCACTTCGCTCCCAAGCTCTGACAAGCCTGGCCTAAACTGGGCTGTGTTGTGAAATATCCTGCTAGGTTGTATTACACAATAACAACAAAACATAGAGTAGCGTTTCTTCATCAGGAATTGCCATTTTCATCAGTTTGCTAGAACCAGGCTGGTTATGGGGTGGAGGGGTGGGGAGTCCAAATGAGATTATTACTAGGTAGTGAGTGACTACAGTTGTATAATTTAAGGACCTGTGGGCTGAATCAGATCACTATGGAATGCTGTAATTTCTACCTAGCCAGTAGCATTATCTATAAAACAGTGGGAATATTGTTAATGGTTCCAGATTCAACAGTAGGAGGATAGAATGATGTATCGGACATAATGTTTGGGATCGCCTTGTCCATTACAGAAATAACCCTGAGCAGTACTTTAAGGTATCAGCTTTATATTTCAACAGGGCTGTTGGGCATGTGCAGTCTGATTAGTAGGCACCCCTTGGTGGGGCTGCACATCATAAACTTCCAATGGTGGTATTGCTTTTGACGGTAGCTCAGAGGTAGAACACGTCATTTGCATGCAAGAGCCTCCCGGGTTCAACCTCCAGTTCAAAGAACCTCTAGCAAAGATCTTTCTTAACACAAAGCCCCCAAATGCCACTGCCTGAATTAGATGGACCAGTGATCTAACTTGGTGTAAGGTGGCTTTGTATGTGTCTGTGGGTTTTTAATAAGAATGTAAATAAAAGGTGGTTTGTTTTAAAGGGCAAAGTAGTTGGAATTCACTCTTTAAGACACCGAACAAGTTTTGTGAGAGGCCTGTTTTAAATTTCTAATGTATCCCATGATGAAGCTTCAGAGCATACAACAACTTTGAAAACTCACATGTGCAACAAAATTGGACAAAACCAACTTCGATCTGGCAATTTTTAGTAATGAGCTAGTTTTCATAATAAGCGATGGATTTAAGTTTCTTCTGACAAGCTTGCTCCCTGGGTTTCAGTGGAGTCTAGGATTCGCTGCTTCTGAATCAAAGCCCTTTTATTTCTTAATTTAGAGAATTTATAAGCCATCCCACAAGTAAAAACAATCCCATAGAATCATAAAAACAGACAATATAAATGATCAAGATAAAACCGGGCGGCGGGGAGGGGGGGCATAAAAGCAGCATAAAGCAAGCATGGAGCAGTCTCAAAAAATCTAGAAGTGAGTCCTTAAGCAGACTGTGAAAAAAACTGACCCTCAGTTAAAAGCATGGGACTGAAAAATCAGCAAGGTAGGTTCCAGGTGATGAGGTGCCACCACTGAAGGAGTCACTGCCCATTTTGACTCTAAAGGTGGGGCACAGGGGGCAAGACCTGAGAAGTGGATCTTAACTGCTTGGCTGGACAGCGTGGAAGGAGGTGGTTCTTCAAGAACCCTGGCTCCAAGCCATTTGGACTGTAAAGGTATGAACTAGCACTTTGAATTGTGCCACGAAGAAGATAGGCAACTGGTGCATATATGCCAAATTCTCCAGATTTGAAACCTTGACTAAAAGGCAGCCCAAAGAACTAAAAAAAACTTCTTGCAGTGATTTTGAAAATAATGCTTAGGCTCTGGCTTAGATCATGCATATCTCAGGAAGGATGTTCTATGACTCTGGGCTGCTTGATAAACCAAGCCCCCTGGTGAATGAGAGAGCAAGCCTAAGTGAATCTACTCAGAATCTTACTTAGCTGTTTTCAGTGGGGCTGACTCCCAGGAAACATGTCCTTAAGGCTGCACTCTGAATTTTGGTGCAGGCTCAAAGGACTCAATGTGTTGCCCTTGCTTGCTATGAGAGATTAAGGTGGGCTATAAGGAGAAAGTAGTGTTTAATGGATGGCCATGAATGAGGGTTTGAGCCAGCTTTGGGTCTTGCAGATTCCATCTGATCTGGCAGCTGTTCAGCCAGCTAGTTTGCTCCGGTTCATGGGATTTGTAAATGCAATCATAAAACAGGAAGAGACTTTGAGTGTGGTATGTTAAAGAAAAGCTTTTGCTGTGCTAAGATTTCAGATAATGAAAGTGATAGCCCTGGAGGGTCAACACAGTGTTATGGTTGTAACAGTATATCACAATCATGATACAAATCGGGGACTGTAAGCCACACATAAACTTTGCAGTTAAATTTAAAAGCCAAACATAACAGTTTGTATTGCGAGCGTTAACATACTTTCCCCCCGTGACTTCCCGCAGTTATTTATATATTGGTTTCTCACATGCACCAGACTTTGCCTGAGGCGGCCAACAACATAAAATGAAACAATACGTAATACAATTGTAATATATATAGATACACAAACACGATAAACTTAACAGTGGCTGTCGTCTAGTTTTTTAAGATCGCAATCAGTGAAACCAGCATAAAAGAGAAGAGAACAAGACAAGTGGATAAATGCAAACAAAATGGTATTTCTTGTTCCTTTATTTGATGTTTAGCGATGGCACCTAATGCTTACCATGTAACTTATTTTTTTTTAATCTTAGCACCCCAGCAACTTTGGAACAAAACTATGTCGTTTGTGAGCTGCATCAAAAAATCAACATGTTGTACTCCTTTTTGAGAAGTCATCTGAATAAGAAGAGTATTGTATTCTTTGCAAGCTGCAAAGAGGTACTGCATGTATATGTAATATAAAAGGGATTTTAAAAGGTTAACAAATTGATTTAAATTGTGGCTTGTAGGGACAATATTGCTCCAGTCTTCACCCATCCACACTGGCTCCCAATTTGTTTCTGAGTATAATTCAGGTTGCTGGTTTGACCTTCAAGAGCCCTATATGGTTTGGGACCCACATACCTGAAGGACTGCCTTATGAACACACCTGGCCACTAAGGTCATCTTCAGAGGCCCTTCTTCAGGTGCCCCAACATTTTGGGATGAGGTGGCTGGCAACCTGGGAAGAGGGCCTTCTCAGGCATGGCCCCAAAATTCTGGAACTCTCTCTCCAGAGAGATTTGCCTGTCCCCTTCTCTTGACAACTTCCGCCAGCAGGTGAAGACTTTTTTGTTTCATTTGGTGTTCCCTCTGTGATTCCTCCTTGCACAGAGAATGCTACTTTACTTTTCAGGGGATTTAAACTCTCTTATGGATTTTTTGAACATTTCAGATTTTTCTGCAGACCTGAAGAGTCCCCCAAATTTGTTGATAAATCTGTTTAGCATCTGTGTGGCCCCGATCCACAGATATAGGTATTTACAGGTGGTGGCCACACATTGCTAATAGGATATAAACAAGTGGGAACCTGCAAGGACTTGCAGGAGGCACCTCTCTTCCCCCTCAACCAGTATTTCCTCTTTCCTTTTCCTGAAAGCCCCCATTGTCTCTTCCTTTTTCCTGCTTCCTTCTTTCTTTTTAGGGTTGCCAACCTCTGGGTGGGGGCTGGAGATCTCCTGGAGTCCCAACAGATCTCCCAGATACAGAGAGAAATTCCCCTGAGGGTTGCCAGATTGAGGTTGGGAAATCCCTTGAGATTTCGGGGTGGAGCCTTGGCAGGGCGAGGTTTGGGGAGGGAAATAACCTCAGCAGGGTATAATACCACAGATTCTGGGTGATCTCCAGCCCCCATCTGGAAGTTGTATAACAAAAAATGGCTATGCAGTAGGTGTGATATACTATATCTGAAAAACACTGTAATTTTTAAGGAATATACACAAAATTCTATTTGACATTACAACTAGGTTTTTGACTTTGTGGAGCTGGTTGGAACATTGAATAGGCCCTAGTGTCAAGGGAAATAGCAGAGCTCCTTAGCTTGGTATAACACTTGCAGTTGAGTGGTGGAGTGCAACTGGGAACAGAGGATTAGTGCCTGGGCACGTCCTGCACTAGTCTGCACCAGTTTGGTGTGAGGGCCAGTTTGGTGTAGTGGTTACGTGTTCGGACTCTAATCTGGGAGAACCGGGTTTGATTCACCACTCCTCCACTTGCACCTGGCTGGATGACCTTGGGCAAGCGTAGTTCTGGCACAGCTGTTCTTGAAAAAGGGCAGTTTCTGTCAGAGCTCTCTCAGCCCCACCTACCTCACAGGGTGTCTGTTGTGGGGAGGGGAAGGGAAAGGAGTTTGTAAGCCGCTCTGAGAAACCTTTGGGTAGTGAAGGGCGGGATATAAATCCAATCTCCTCCTCCTCTTCCTCCACTAGTCCCCCTCAACACTTTCCTGGCTTTATTGTATGATTTCGGCGTGACGAAGGGTCGAAATGGAGATTTATCTGGGACATCCATTGCTGTGGTTAATACTATGTGGTTAACCTCATATATTATGGTCTAGCTTCATATGTTTCAATTCAATTTGTACTTGTACTGCATCTTTAAAAAACAGTTAATAAGTGCCCATCTGGAAGTTGTCAACCCTAGTCCCCCTGGAGGAAATGACTGTTTTGGAGGGCAGTGTCTATGGCATTATACTCCTCTTGAGGTCCCCCTCCTCAAACCCCATCCTCCCCAGGCTCCCCCCCCCAATCTCTAGGAATTTCCTAACCTCTTTCCCGTCTTTTGGCAATCCTCATATCCTCTCCCTGCCTCATTCTCTCCTTCTCAGCCATTCACCAACCTACCTTTTATCTGCCTCCCATCTTCAGCTATATTTAGTCTTTATTTATTTCATTTATATCCCACCTTTCTCCAGAGATGGGACCAAAACAGCTTACATTATTCCCCTCTCCTCCTTTTTGTTTGCACAACAACCCTGTGAGGTAGGTTAGGCTGAAAGTATTTGGCTGGACCAGATTCACCTAGTCATCTCCCACAGCAAGATGGGGATCTGAACCTTGGTCTCCCAAACCCTACTTGAAGCTCTAACAGCTACACCACACTGGCTTTGATAGAGAGGTTGCTGTTGAACAGTAGCAAGCAGCCAGGCCTAGTTCAGTCATGAAAGTCGGGTGGTATCAACTCACCCAGAAGTTGCTTCCAGGCCTGAGGTTGCCAATCTCCAGCTGGGACCTGGCGATCTCCCAGAATTACAGCAAACTCCAGATGACAGAGATCTGTCCCCCTGGAGAAAATAGCTGCTTTGGAGGGTGGACTCTATGGCATTATATTCAGCTGAGGCCTCTCCCCTCCCCAAACCCTGCCTTCCTCAGACTCCACCACAAACTCTCCAGGAATTCCCAACCTGGAACTGGCAATCTTAGCCAGACCTGGCCCCAAGATGCCTTTCCTCGGCCAAAATAGGCCTGCCTCTATCTTTTACTGACAGAACCAAGCCTTGGAATGCTGTGGTTGGCTAGCAACAGCCATTGAGGGAATTCATTGCTTAAAGCTATAGGCGGTCCTTTTATCATTTTCGGCTTTTTTAAAGCTGCTACCATTGTGGGGTTTTTTTTTTAGATTATACATTTTTTCTGCAAACATGGAGTCCTTTTTAGGTTTGTAGAAAGCTCTGCCTTGCCTGTTCACAGCTCCAGCCACTGGATTTAAGTATCCAAAGATAACCTTACTTTGGTATTGAAATATAAGATAAATAAATTTACGTCTTATATAAGGATAAAAACAATTAATTTTGAAGGAGAAAGCGCTTTTTATTTCTACTTTATCTGTTCATGTGTTATAGCAGACTCATGCCTTTTCTTAATTGGGACCTGCCGCTGGCAATTTTTATAAGCACTTGTATTAACAATAATTTATTTTAAGTGCTCCTGGGTCAAAGAAATTTGGAAAGAGGTGTTATTTTTCTAACGACTCTGCACTCTTAAATTGAACATGGATTTTTTTGGGGGGGTTACTGAACTTACAAAAGCTTGATGTATAAATTTTTTAAAAGAAGCCCCACAAGTCCCTTACACAGAATGTGATAGTGGGTGTAAAGATTTGGTGGCAAACCACTGCAAATCTGACAGCTGATGCCAGACCGTGAAGTGATTGGGAAAGCATTCTCAGGGGCTGAAAGGGATGTTGACAGAATTAATACGGTTTCAGAATGAGGATTTATTTATGTGCTCCACTTATTATTTGCCATTCTCATTAGGACTCGAGGTGGATTACATAATTATAAAACGGTGCAATAAAGACCAGTAGGATACATCCTATAATCAATGCAATCTGAAGGGGGAAAAGAAGAAAAAAAACTACCTGCAGTTTTTCTGACAATTAAATTGCAACTATAGTGCCCTCCGTTACAGAGCTTAACTCCTCTTTTATTTTAGGTTATTGGAATAACTGTAGTATGTTCTCAGTAAGAAGCGTACCGGATTCGCTTCAAAGTGCTGGTTCTTACCTTTAAAGCCCTATATGGCCGGGGTCCAACATACTTAAGGGACTGCCTTTCCCCATATGTTCCCCTGCGGGCACTAAGGTCGGGGACACAACATCTCCTGATGATTCCAGGCCCCAAGGAGGCCAGGCTGGCTGCTACTAGGGCCAGAGCTTTTTCGGTGGCGGCTCCTACCTGGTGGAATGAGCTCCCGGAGGAGATCCGGGCCCTGCGGGACCTTGCGCAGTTCTGCAGGGCCTGCAAGACGGAGCTCTTCCACCAGGCGTTCGAGTAGGAGCTGCCACTATTTTACCATCATCAGCTCTTGGCCCTGGGAAGAGAGAACAACAGCGCCACATGGAACTTCAGTACTGATTGGGTGTGCCATCTGGGACGTCATCTTCATGGAAGATCTTGTTTGAACCTCTAGAGCACTTAATAGGTTGTAACTTATGTTGTTATATTGTAGTGATGTTTTTATATGTTTTTAATCTGTTTTATGTGTTGGCTTTGCCTGTCTGTGAGCCGCCCGCGCTGCGGGGAGGGCGGGTTATAAATTGAAATTATATATATAAAAACAACAGTAAATAATTTGTTTTAAATCTGTTTCCCAGTTAATGATGAGTGTTTTTTTAGGTGAATGTTTAACTAATTTGCGGCTGTTTGGAAGTAACGGATCACTGCTTAATTAAATGAACTTAATGTAACTTTATTATCGTTATTGCTACTTCGACAAGATTTTTGTCTCCTGTTTTTTTTAATTTTTACCACAAGAGACTTTCAATCTCATTAGAGCAGCAGTGGTCATAGAAGGAATATTGAATCCTTTGCTCCATTTTCCTGCCCCCCCCAACATATTTATTTATTTCCTGCCTTTATACCATTGCCCCCTCCTCCATTTTATCCTCACAACAACCCTGCGAAGTAGGTTAGCCTGAGTGTGTGACTGGCCCAAGATCACCCAGCAAGCTTCCATGGCGGAGAAGAGATTTGAACCTGTGTCTCCCAGATCCTAGTTTGACATCTAGTTATCTTTATCTGCAGGAGGACAGAATGCAGTTACAAGCATTCCCCCCTGCCATAGGACTATTTCTAGCTTCTGGGGTAGATCAGAAAAATGGCATGGTGGGAAAGGGTAAATATCTTCCTCTCCAGTGTCTTTGCTCCTGTCATTCTGCACCTTACCCCACCTGACTTAAAATGAAAAAGATCAGGAAATCCAATGACAGGTCTTCTATGCAGTGTGCGCTTTGGCCATTTAGTGGCTGCATTGCACGTGGTACTTTACAAAGTAAAATAATCCAAAGACAGGCCCTTGGTATAAAGAGCTGACAATCGACATTGTTTCTGGTTTCCAGGTTCAATACCTATTTAGAATGTTCTGCCGCCTTCGTCCCGGCCTGCCTATACTGGCACTTCATGGCAAACAGCAGCAGATGAAAAGAATGGAAGTCTATAATGATTTTGTGCGCAAGAAATCAGCCGTTCTCTTTGCTACGGATATTGCCGCTCGGGGGCTGGGTGAGTAGTTTCAAGTGCTTGCATGTCCATCAATCTGGAAAAGTACTTAAGCTTTATTTCTCTGATCCAGGGGGGTAGCTGTGCTAGTCTGCTGCAGCTGAAGTGTGTGTGTGTGGGGGGGGGGGAACAGTCCTGTGGAGCCTTAAAGATGAATGCGTTTATTGCGACAAAAACTTTCATGAGTCTGAAGCCTGCTTTGTCAGATGCACAGTCCAGTCCAATCCGGTGAGAGTGTGGTTGAGTACAGTCCTGGCTTTTATTAAATTTTATTTCCTTTGAGTTGAATTCAAAGGACCATGAATGGTTCTTGTGACAGACAGGAGGCTGTCCTGCCCTGGAGAGGTGAAACAGCCTGAGCCTGTGGGAGTGTTGCTCCAGGATCTAGTCTCCTTCCAGATGTTGAGGTCTACCAGAGGGAGGTGACGAGACGAAAAAGGGGAATTGTCTCGGCAAGGGAGCAGACAACTTAGTGTTTAGCTCTGCCTGGCAGAGTGGTTGGATTCTACCTCAGGGAGAGGATAGAGTTGTGAGGCCTGTCTGTGATGATGAGTACACCTGGTTACTACAGGCTTTAAAGGAAATTCAGCACATAATGTGGCTGCCAGTCTGTTTCCAAGCTCAATTCAAGGTGCTGGTTATGACCTTTAAAGCCCTTCATGACCAGGGACCCCCACATATTTAAAAGACTGTCTCCTTCCATATGTCCCTGTGTGCCAGCTGTGGTCATAATGCAGCCATCTGTTGGCTATCCCACCATTCAGGTTAAGCCTGTCCAGGCCTTCTCCATCATGGCTTTGACTCTGTAGAATGGATTTTCTGAAGAGGTGAGGGGAGCCCCCCTCCTTGGAGATCTTCAGGAGGTGCTACTTGTTTGCCAGGGCTTTTCAGGGGGCTTGAATGGGGGAGAGATCTGAGGTTAGCGGTTATATTTTGGTTTTAACTGAAGATGTTTTCAGCTATTATTGTAAACTGCCTTGAACCATGAGGAAAGGCAGGATATAAATGTTTTAATAAATAAGCATGAATAAATAAATAAATAGATCTTTCTTAAACCTCCTGCTTCACTGATCTCTGTACTCTTCAGGCTCAGTACAAAACTTACTTCACAGCAGTGACCCAAAGCCTTGACGCTTGCTACCTGAAGAATGTCTCGTAACTGGGGAGAAGGCTTTATATCTCAAAACTAGCCAGGTTTTCCCAAATTCATAAGAGAGGCAATGTGGGTTCCCTCAGTTTCAAGAAAGGTCCTGTCACAGCCCTCCACTCAGAGAATGTGTCCTTTCTCCCCTTCTTACTGCTGCCCTCTCTGTTCCCTGAAAAGTGACTCCTGGGAATTGTGAGGTCCTCAATCCTGCTCGAGTTTGAGGTCCACGTATCAGAAATACTAGAGCTTAGATGTTATTCCAGTGAAGGTTGTGGGTAAACAGAGGCCTTAAATTCTCTTGCAATGGGGTGGAGATGCAGTGCTGTCCGCTCCCCTGGGAGTAAACAACTAGTTCCTAAAGGTGCTGTGCCTGGTTATGGTGGCAAGAGCGCCAGTATGGTTGGGGTAGTTCAGGGTTTTTTGGGGCCTGAGGGAGGTCGCATGAGGAGAGACTTCAAATGCTGCTGTTGGCTGTGGGATAAAAGGGTTCAGGGTCTGAGTCAAAGGGCAGGGTTGTATACCGGGGTTGAGGGGGATGGCTCAGACTCCTGGGGCTCTTCTTGTACATCAAAGGGGGTTCTTGGTGGTACCTCAACTGCCTTCTTCTGTGTGGTGGTGTCAGATGTTCAATGCCCTCCTCATCTGAGTCTTTGGTGAGGAGGAGTCCATACTGGACACCCTCAGGACCAATTTGGGGTGAGACTTTGGATTCTTCACTGGAAAGGGGGAAATTGGCAATGTTTGTCTTCCTCCCTGTTCCCGGCTTGGAACCAACCTTCCATTTTACAAAATGCATATCCTGCCTTTCTGTTGTTAAAATAACACTCAAAGGAGTTTACAGCAGTTCAATATAAAAATAAAGATAGGGTTAAAATAATAAAAACAAATCAATAAAAAGTAGAAAGCCAGCAGTCGTAAAAACGGATCATGAAAGCAATCATAACAGAAGTTAATGCAAAGATGAAAGAAAGAGAGAGCAATGGGGCAAATAAGACAGCTAAGGGTATTAAAAATGTACAAATAAAATTAAAAAATAGTGCTAAGTTGTATGTTTGAGGGAAGGATGGGTCTTAGCTCTGGAAAGGTTTGAAAGCCACTGGTTTAAATCAAGAAAAAATGTTAAAGGATTAAAGATTTAGCATTTATAAAATCCAGGTAGCCTGTCTATCTGTGTCAAATATAAAATTACATTCTGTTTCACCATCATTACGTAGGAATTTAAGAAGCCATTAATTTTAGTCCTATCTGACACAAACCTGATATATGTGATTAATTTTACTTTGTCTCTTTAAATTCTGTGACTGTAAAATGGAGCTGAAGCGTAGTGGGCAGTACTGCCAGATGAGACCCCCCCTTTTGTTTGTATGGGTGAATAGTTTTAAATGTTTTCTGATCTCAAGATCTTTTCCTTCCCTTCACAGATTTCCCTGCTGTGAATTGGGTCATTCAGTTTGATTGTCCAGAGGATGCAAATACTTACATTCACAGAGCTGGAAGAACAGCCAGGTTTGTTTTAAAATTTTGGATTTTCCTGTAGTTCGTTGTTTTATTTATTTAGAAAATTACTATGCTACCTGTGGAGAAATGCCCTTCATCCAATGTTTCTGTCAATGGGACCACACTCTGTATGTTCTCAGGAACCCAGTGGCAGACGAGAAGCTGGCAGAAAGGAGAGGGTTGGGAGCTATTAGTCTCCAAGCATAGAGCGTTCAAGCTCTTGGTTATGCTAATGACTGGGTGAAGCAGGACAGTGGTATAGAAGAAGAAGAAGAAGAAGAGAAGAGGAGATTGGATTTATACCCTGCCCTTCACTTGGAGTCTCAGAGCCCTTCCCCTCCCCACAACAGACACCCTGTGAGGTGGGTGAGGCTGAGAGAACTCTGACACAAACTACTCTTTCAGGAACAGCTGTCCCAGAGCTTGTGACTGACCCAAGGTCACATCAGCAGGTACAAGTGGAGGAGTGGGGAATCAAACCTGGTTCTCCCAGATTAGAGTCCGCACACTTAACCACTACACCAAACTGGCTCTCCGCGGGGCAAGGGCGGGCGTCTGATCGTGTTTCCGGTGGTATACCACCACATACGATGCTGATCAGTCATACCTAGAGTCATAAAGCTGGGAAGACTAGAGTAATAGAACAAAAACTCTTTCTTTGGGACAGGATGGTCCTCCCAAGTTGGGAGAGGAGGAGGAAGCAGGTTATTTAAACTCAGGAGAACTGGAAGACGCTCTCTCTTAGCGACTAGCTCCTTGGATAAGCACAAGCGACGAAGGGCTAAGATTATACGTAGGGACTCCATCTCATCCACATGGCCAGAGAAGGCCCAACCATAAGAACTTTATGGTATTTTATTATTATTTACATTGTAAGCCATCTTCAGTTCCTCTAAGATAGAAAGGCAGCTAATAAATGTTTTAAAATAAATAATCAGAGCTAAAGTAAAGATGAACTTCAAGCTACTGCAATTTCAAGTAAAACTTTCTTATGTTCTAAATACTCTAGGGCTGCGGTCACACGGAGCAGTAGCCACGCTACTGCGACGGAAGATAGGCAGATTTTCCGGGCGCGATCTCACTGCCACATCTGGGAAGCGTAGAGCTCCCATGGCGAACCCGAGGCTTCCCTCTGAAGATGCGCGGTTAAAAACTAGTACCTCGGAGGTACTAGTTTCCGGAAACCGCGGGGCAAGGGTGGGCGTCTGATCGCGTTTCCGGTGGCATCCGGCGCCCGCCCATGCCCCATTGCGAAAAGGTTTTTTCCCCCTGAAGTCTCCAGGGATGCGCATACTTCAGGTTAAAAAAACCCCCACAACCCCGTTTGCCGCGCCGCGCCACTTCTTTGGCGCGTCGTGTGATCGGCACCTCCCCCCTAACCACGGGACCTCGACGGGACCGCGAGGGGACGCCTGATCGCCCAGTCGTGGGTTATTTCGCTGCGGGGCAAACAGCCACGCCTCCCCCCCACGATATCCGGCCCGTGTGACCGGGGCCTTGATCTGATATCTAGAAAAACACCACTCCTATTTGGTCTTATTATCTGAGGTGTGATAATTGGGAGGGGCAGTGAATAAGTTTACCATTGCTGGAGCACAATAGCTTGGAATTATGAAATTGCGATAGATTGTCCCAGCTCTTGCTTGTAGAAGTGTAGCAGGAGGTGTTGTAAGTAGGCAGAGCCTTTAAATGGCAGTGCAGGTACAGAGTAATAGATACATTGCCTCCATTTAGCAGCAGATAACTCTCAGAGTTGTTGGCAGTAGCAGGTGGTACCCAGTTTTCTTGGGGGAGACCCCTGGGGACCAGGGGGAGGTTTGATTTGGCTATACAGATATTTTAAAATGTTGTTTTGGTAGCAGCTGCCACCACAGCACAAACATCTTCACGGTGTGAATGAAGGTAAGCTATGGCAGCCATTTTGTAGCTGGCGCCATCTCCTGTGGCAGCCATTTTGTGGCAGCCATTTTGTAGCTGTGCCCATCATGCTGTGCCAGAATTTCAAACGAGCCAATAGGCTGCAAAAGGTTGGGGATCCCTGACCTAAGAGAATGTCAAGTATTAAATTCTGCTAAAACTGTCAGAGCCTGGACTTACTGTATTAATCAGTATTGCTTGTGCCTATTTCTCATTTGTTTTTATGGGTAAATAATTGTATTTTATTTTAGAAAATGTATATGCCTGGTTTCTGTTTCTAGAAAGAGCATCCAAAGCATTTTAGCTTTATTGGGTATTTTAAGTTGGATTATGCACTTTATGGTTTTGCTGAAATGATCGTAAGCCACCTCAGGCATTACTACATAGAGACAACAAGATATAAATGCTTTAAATAAATAAATGCAACGACAAGATAAAAGCAGATAAAAGTGAACGTAATGCAAGTTAATTAGCAAAATAGCTCAGAATACTCATTGAAAAGGTTCGTTAAACTGCAGCCAGTACAAAAACCCATCGATAAAACATCGATTTAAAAACTATAAAACTAGGAGTATGTTGGCACTGACAAAAAGACAAGATGAAAACAAAAAGAATGGTTGATATAAAGTATTGACCAACTTCTGGTATGCTAAAAGCGAGGGTGCAAGGCAAAACCTCCTTGCCTATCTTGGCTCCTTGGCCAAATGCATTGAAACAGGGCCACAGCATGATGATCTTAGCTCATGGGCAAGCTTAAATGGATAGAGGCGGTACTTTAAGGCTCCAGTCTCTAGGTGTCAAAATATCACCTCCTTCCTGCTAATGAAAATTTCTGCTGTCGTGTAGTTCTCAGTTTTGTCTTGGAGCGTGGATCAAGACATTCACACAGTGGGTCCAAGCACAGAAAGGGGTGACGTTTCTATGAACCTGGGGATTATTGCAGAAAAATCTCAGTATTTTTTTTAAAAAATTAATCATTTGGGGGAGAGGGCTTAAAGCTCATCCCAAAATGAGAAATATGTTTACCTGTGCATATACGAAAAAAGTATGCCAATTGAGATCTTACAAGGGCATGGTTGGCGTTATGAGGTTGCTTAGCGACTCCATACAGCCAGGCTTTGGGGAGGGGAGGAAACTGGTGGCAACAGGAGGGTTGGCAGGGGAAGAGGGAAAAGCAGCAATAGGGCAGGGGGTTGGAAGAAAAGAGAAAACAGGTTTGGAGGAGCTGGAGGAAGAAAGTGGCAATGGGGGTATTGGAGAAGGAAGAAGCAGTGATGGGGTGGGGGTGAGCAAGCGGAAATAGGAGGTGGGATGGGATTTCCCTTCCGCATGAGTGCTTGCTTGCAGGTCCTCTTCTTGTATTCTGTATTAATGATAGGCTGGAGTCTATTTTGTTGAGGTTTTAAAAATTATACATATAATCTCCTACTCTTTCATGGGCCTCCAAGTAGTCTTCCATTGAAATTGCATATCAGATCTATCCCTGTGTAGCATCAGTGATGCTTCAGCATCCATTTGCGGATCCTTCGTTGGGTTTGTAATACTTCTTTAGACATAACTATTTTGTTGCAAAAAATTCAGGTAGGCTCTTATTTCAGTTCACCTTACTCCTGAGATTTGGGGGGCGGGGCGGGAATGTATGTGTTGTTTATTTATTTATTTTTATATTACATTTGTTAATCGCCCAGTCCCTGCAGTGCAGGGGTCTGGGCGATGTACATAATTCATGAAAACATCAAGTTAAAACAATTAAAACATTAATAAGGTATTTCAAACAAAAGATGGTGAATATTAATTAACCTTATTATGGACTGCTGGCCACTTCGCTGCTTCCGAGACCCTTTGTGGTTGCTTGGTAGGATACTGAGATCTTCATTGTCAGTTTATTAAGCTTCTCATGCTTATGATGTTGAGTGAAGTGACAGCAGGGAGTCACTAGAGACTTGGAAAACTGGGGTAGAAATATAGCATTTTGCATGTTTTAAGGCATGATTAAAATGCGTCCGAGTGTGCCTGTGTGAGTTTCTAAGAAAATGGAAATTTCAATAAAACCTGAAATATTTACAGTTCTCGCTTCTCCATCCATACCAAATTTGAATTTGTTCTTGAGGCTGTAAAACCATCCATAAAATAGACCTGCCTTGATAATTTATTGTGCATTTCCATCAGAAATTCATTTCTGTTGCATTGGTTGGGAAATATATTTATCTAGTGCAATTAATTGTGCATTTTGTTTCCCATTTGTATCTTTCCCAAGTTCATGTTCAGGTAAGGTTGAGAAGGACTGTGTGGCTGAATACGAAAATCAGCCAAAATGTGTGGTAATGGCAGTTGTGTGAATCTTATCTAGCTTGAGTGGAGCTGCATTAGAAGAAGGGGGATTTTCCTGCCTCCGCCCCTCTTGCTGCAGGCTTTGGACCCCCAGGGACAGTGTGGGGTCTGCAGCAAGAAGGGAGAGTCACCAGAAATTGCCACCTTTCCCATGGGTGGAAGTGCATTCTGTAAGTTGAAAGCAGGGTACAGTGTTCAGTTTCCCAGGTGAGAGATGGTAGCGGCTTAAGGCTCCCTAGAAATCATGTCCTCTGACCAGATGCTCTGTTCCCCAAATTTGTGGTGTGTGGATTGTGGCAATGGTTACTGAGCGCTGGAAGACAGTGTTCTGTCATGGTTAGATTGTTTTAGTAAGACTGGTGAGACCTGGGCTCACTTTTTTTTTTTCCTCTCATGTCCTTCTCCCTAATGACAACTCAAAGTGGCTTACAACATTTCCCCCTCCTGCATGTTTTCCTCCACACAACCCTGTGAAATACGTTAAGCTGAGAGTGAGTGACTGGCACAAAATCACCCAGAGAGCTTCTATGGAAGAGTGGGAATTCAAACCTAGGCCTCTTGGAACTAGGGTTGCCAACTCCAGGTTGGGAAATGCCTGGAGATTTTGGAGAGGAAGCCTGAGGAGGGTGGGGTTTGGGGAGGGGATGGACTTATTGGGGTATAATGCCATAGAGTCCACCTTCCAGAGTAGCCATTTTCTACAGGTGAACAGATCACTGTTGCCTGGAGATCAGCTGTAATCCCCAGATCTCCAGGCACCA